GAAAGAGAGAACAATGGCAGGTTTCCACAGCTGGAGAAGAACTCCTTGTGACCAAATAAGATTAAAGAGTCATAAGAGGACAGCAAGAGCTGACTAATGTAAATGCTGTAGCATGTGAATATGAATGCCATCAGGCCCAGCTGCCGATGATCGGCAAGCAAAGAGTGTTGCCTCCAGTTCCAGAAGTGTAAAAGGCACATAAGATTCTTCTCTGATAGAAGAAAAGTTTAGGGGCTCTAATTCTCTGGAAAGCTTGAAGGAAAGAAACGAGGGGCATAGATGGAGCCCCTGAGAGACACAAGACAAGATTACCAATTTCGGCAGCAACGTCAAGAGGGTTTGCCATAGCGACACTGGCAACCCGAAAAATGGAAGCCGGGTCAGGAACGTATTTACCACTCAGGTTCTGTACTTTTTTCCAGACTGCGCTTATAGAGAAAGCCGAAGTGATGGTAGAAACAATCCCGCCAACAAGTGCGTTTAGCGTCACGGTGGGCGATCGCTCGCTTCTGCTTAAAATCAAGGAGTCGTCTGTGGTTCTATTGTACCGGTACTTGCCCCATGCAGCATGTTTTAAATGTACTGCCCGAGCACAAGCATGTGACCACCGAGGCACGCACCTGTGAGAATGCCTGCCCAAGGTTTGGGGTATAGAATGTGAAGCTGTGGTTAAAATTGAGGTTGAGAAGAGGTGTAAAAGTTCATCAATGAAGGACGAAGAAGGACCCTCACTAAAAGTAGTTTGACGTGAGTAAAGGTCTCGATTCACTCAAACTGGTAGCATGAGCTACGAGGTGAATACGAAGGAGAAATAAGGATGATTGGAAAATGATTGCTGTCATGCAAGTATGGGAGGACAGACCAGGTAAAGTCTGGTACAGTTGAGGAAGAGCAAACTGAGAGATCGAGGCATGAGAGAGAATGAGTACAAGGATCAAAATAAGTGGGGGTACCCGTACAGCCTCTCCTCACTTAGCGATGTACTCATTTACTGATGCCTCGGACTTACGACGAGCTCTCTGACCAGTATTCTTACCTAAATAATGTATATTAGAGCTGATTTCCTCTATTCTGTTTATTTCAATATGCAGTACACTACTGTATAAACATTTAAAAATATACCAGAAATGTCATAAATGATGCAAAGGTGACATTAAAACAATACCAAAGATAGTAGACACAAACTCACTACCATTATATTATGCTCCTCACTTGGCGACGAATTCGTTTAACGACGTTGTCTTAGGAATGAAACTCCATTGTGAAGTGAGGAGAGGCTGCATTTAAAACATGGAGGGGGAGAGAGGTGAGAGAATCCTCCAACTGTGAGACCCCCCCCCCAGGAAATGGTGTGTATAAGAAGTACACTTTCATTAAAGGTGCCATTGGGAAAAGGATCTGATGAATATAATAAAACATAGCCCAAGATGGGATGGATAACAGCAGAGTGTAATTTGGGTTCTGGTAAACAAACACAAACAGGGGAAAACTGGGAGAGCAACACTTGAAGCTCACCCCAGTTTTTTCTCTGAGGCCACAGATATTCCACTGTAAATAAGCCATGATTTGTGAAGAGAAAGGTAGAGGTATCTACGGACTAGAAGCGTTAGAAAAGTACATATGTGGAAGCAGCAGAAAACGCACAAGCAGCAAAGGACTGGGACGCTGTGTGAAGTAAGGAGTTGTGCAGACAGAAGAGTGAAGAGTAGGAAGACAAGGTGGATCAGTGTCCATCAATGTTCTAGTCTCCTCAATATATTCAGAGATAGCTTCAGGTGTTTCAGAAAACAAGGATGCTGTATGTGGGATGATATTGGAGATGGAAGGAGGAGGGTGAGTAAAGATTGGGGTAACGGTGAATTGTATCAAAGTAGGGGAGGATGAAAGGGTAGAGGGAACTGGAGAAGCTTGGGAGGGGACAGGAGAGGAAGCAACCTGTGAGGGGGGGGGGGGCAGAAGAGGAAGAACTTGGGAGGGGACAGGGGAGGAAGGTATTGTGCGAGGAGGACGACGAACCTCCACACTCGTAACAGAGCCAGTTAGAGGTGAAGAACCAGGTACAGAAACTGGAAAGGAAAAATGTGCAGGCAGAAGGGAAGGAGAGGTTAAGAGATTTTAACAATGGGGACTTTTTGGACTTTGGAGAAGTAGAAGGGTGATGGGGAGGAATTACTGTACGAGGTCTTGTAGACACAAACTTGTGAGTGAGAAGAAGAGGTGAGAACAGAATGAGGTGTCAAGGTAGAGACCTCTGAGTACAGGACAGCAAAAGAATTAGAGACAGGGGTGACTGTGGAAGGGGTGACAGCGGAGGCTACAGAAATTAGGACCCTAGAGGTGGGGGTCGTTTAGTAACTCGAGAATAAGAAATACGGGGAAGTTTCCCCTGGAGGCATAGATGAGAGACTGCCTTAGCATAAGGAAAGCCTTCTGTCTCTGAGACAACAGATTTCTCGCTCATTTAAGTAAACTTGGCAACGGCGAGAGTTAAGATGAGTGAGCCTCATGACAATTAAGGCAAGAGGGAGGTAGACTACAAGATGTATTGGTATGGTCATCAGCACCACAGACTGGGCATTTGGCCATGGACCTGCAATATTTCTCTGGATGAGCAAAACGCCAGCAATTTCTAAACTGTTGCGGTGTAGGAATCACCTTTCAAACTTGTAAACTGTCCCACAATATAAACCGAGGACGAAAACTCATGGCAGTCAAAAGTCAAGCGAGCTACACTGCAAGGGTATTGTCTCCGCCTGCGGGCAGGGAGGACGTAAGTGTCTACTGTGAGGATTGGGAGTTCTTGGAGCTCAAGCTGTTCCAGAATGTCATCACCACATGTCTGGAAATTCTGCTGGACAATGGTACGAGGTAGAATGACAGTATCACTACAAAAATTGAGAAAATTATGTTTTTCAATAGTTATAGGAATAACATCTGTGGTTGTAAGGAGAGAAAGATTGCGAGCATGGCTAACATTCTGTACCGTGATGATGCGTGCACTGCTTGAAACCATGAAAGGATACATCTCAACCCACATGTTGTAGGAGCGCCTTACTATTACTATGGCTGGAAAGAAAGTCAGGAGAAGTCGGTCGCACAGTAAAAAACTTAGTCCATTGTGCATTTTGAAACATAACGTGTAAGGGGAGGGAGTGTCACGCCAGTGTTTTCTGGGCAGAATGAGAGGGAAGCGAAGGAGTATCATCAGGTAATGGTCTTGGGTGTTCAGGCGTGTGACGAGCGGGCGATCCGAAAATTGCCGCACAGTAGAGAGAGGAGCCGAAGCATGGTCAAAGAAGTGCGGAGGTCAGATGCATCAAAGGAGTCAGGTGAACCCCGGCACCTGGAGTGGGTGACAGAACTGCACCAGCAGGAGGGACAGGGGCATTAGAAATGTCTGTAGAGTAGTCAAATAACAAGGTAGGGGTGGAACAAGGTGCAGTAGCAGAAAGGGGCCTGGGGGGAAACTCTTTCATGGACTTAGGACTCCATGGTTATGTCACTTCTTTCTTTTTGTTTTTCAGAAAAGAAAGAAAAAAGAAGAAAAAAAAAAAAGATAAAAGAAAGGAGGGAACAGGGAGGGACAGCTCCTAGGAGAAAAGAGAGGGCCATAAATCTCCCTCTGTGCCCAAGAGGGCCCCAGCACCGCAAGTAGTGCAGATGCGGCATGAAACCCATGCCATACCCTACCCTTCATGCCAGTAAACCAGAAATCTGAGATAGCAACTTCACATCTACTGAGCCACCACAGTGGACAAAAGAGAGAGTGGCTGGATATCCACCACAAAGCATACCTCCTTCAACCACCACCCCCGGGAATCCGAAAGGCAGCTTCCAGAGATACACCAGTCACCTGAAAGACACCCAAAGCCACTCCCTGGGAGACCAGAGATGGAGTAGGACATCCCCATATGATCCAGATTCCACAGCAAACTACACCATACACCATCACCACGGACCTCAAAGGAATGGGATGAACCACGGTACCCTTCCCCCTACCTAGGAACTAGAGTGCCTGTGGGAAGAATCCCAAAGGCTGAAAACAGGAAGGGAATATGGAAAGGATGGGGAGAGGAGGAGGAAAGGTAAAAGGGGAGATGGGGAAGATGGGATAGAGAATGGGGGATAATTAGGTTTGGTCTGAGGAAGGAGATCAAAAGGTCTAATTCCTCAGACCAAGAGCCTCTTCACCGTGCCAAGGAACCCCCCTTGAAGAGGAAGATGGTGTAAAATAGCCTTAATAAAAAGCAGGGATTCAGTAAGTTATAATTCAATTAATGAACACAATGAACAGTCCAAGATTCAAATTCAGGGGAATTTCCAATAGATTTATAACAGTTTTTAATCAGATGGACTGAGGTGTCTAAAACTGAACTACTAGCAATCTGAATGACAAGGCTGTTAATCAGGTCTATTCACAGACCAGATCATGGGGGTGATAATTCCCAAAACCAACATGGAAGATACAGTATTACTCAAAAAGACTAGGAACTGCAAAAGCAGTAACTATCCCATGTAGTAAGGAAAAACAGAAAAGCAGTAGCCCAAAGAGATCCCAAATAAATTTAGTTAAGCTGAAATAAAAAAAAAACTAAGCAAAAGTGCCAATAAATAAGCATGCATGAGATGCATTTATTAAACAGTAGATTTACAAAGATGATCTAGGTATTTTATAGTACATTAAATAGTTACTAAATGTTTTAAATAACTGTAGTACATAAATCATTCAAATATGAAGGAAAAAATAATTAGATTAGAATAAAGGCCATAAGTGGCATCACTGTATATGACAATCACTCAGGACTCGGCTTTATTTTTACTGTCCTTGGTTTGAGATCACATGAGCATATAGATGACAAAATGTACAGTATACATTATAAACTACATGGTAAATCATTTATTTAACCATACTGTCTTATAAAGTAGATTAATATTACTCTAGAAATTGTCAATTCAGGGAATATACAAGAGGTGGAATTTTAAAACAAAAATCTACTTACGCTATTTCCTGAACTGCATTAGCAGACTCAGCAGAATCAAAATCAATCGTATGAGGTTGATTGATGAACAGTTTCATATCCTTTGGACCATTTTCAGCTGGTCCCTTTACTTTCATACTGTGCAGTTTCACAGCTTGATTGAATGACAAGTATAAAATTAACTGGAATGAAAATAATGAAATTTAATGGGCATTACAGAATGATGAAATCCACAATCAGTGTATATGAATTTTTTTTATTAGAATCTTAATTCTTATCTTGTGAAAATAAAAATGAAAATATTTAATTTGTAAATTCTACCAATAGTAGAATACATAGTAGGTTGGTAGACATCAACCAATTAGGGTACACTACACATACATTTACACATTTGTGTATACACACTCATCTGAGTTTTCTGTTTTGTTTTTTTAATAGCTCTTGTTCTTAATATTTTTTATATCCATGGGGAAGTGGAATAAGAATCTTTCCTCCATAAGCCATGCATGTTATAAAAGTCAATTAAAATGCCAGGAGAAATGGGCTAGTAACCCCTTTTTCCCATACAGCTTACTAAAAATAAAAATAAGAAAGCTTTAAATTGGGATGTTTCAACGTACATAAACGTAGTGCGGATGATAAGAGAAGAGAAGAGTGTCGATGTTATGAATGAAAAGTAGCTGGTTGTCCTGCCTCTAAGTGAAACAAAGCTGAAGGGGTAGGAGTTTTTCAGTGGGGAGAAATAAATGGGATTAGGTCAGGGGTTTCTAATAGAGTTAGAGCTAAGGAAATGTAGCAATACTGTTGAAGGATCAGTTATAGCAGGAAATGAGGGAATATAAATTTATAAATTCAAAGCTTACTTGGAGTAAAATAAGGGTCGGATGTGAAAAGTGGGTTATAGTGTTCACGCACCTCGAGAAGAGAGAAATGTAGAGGGGAGAGAGACTGAGATTTTGGGAGATGATGAGAGAGTGCATGGGGAGTTTTGAACCAAGTGAGAGAGTACATGTGGTGGGGGGCCTAAATGCTAAAGTGGGTAAAACTGATGAGAAGGGAGTATGTACTAGGGAAGTTTCAGGTGCTAGGGGTAAATGAAAATGGGGGACCTTTAATTAAAGTACATGTATGTATAGAAAGAGGTATGGTAATAGGTAATACATATTTTAAGGAAAAGAGGATAAATAAATATACAAGATATGATATAGCACATAATGAAAGTAATTTGTTAGATTATGTATTGGATAAAAGGTTGATGGACAGATTTCATGATGTTCACGTTTATTAAAGGGCAGTAGATATATCAGATCATTATTCAGTTGTAGCTACAGTTAGAGTAAGAGGCAGATGGGGCAAAAGGAAAACAGCAACAGCAAGAGAGATGAAAGTTTATAGACTAAGGGAGGAGGAAGTTAGGGTGAGATATAAGCAACTATTGGGAGAAAAGAGGGCTAGTGAGAGTATAGGTAGTATGGGGGCTGAAGAGGGGTGGGGTAGTTTTAAAAATGCAGTGTTAGAATGTAGGGCAGAAGTTTGTGTCTATAGGAGAATGGGTGCAGGAGGAAAGAGGACTGATGGAATGATGAGGTAAAGGGTGTGATAAATGAGAAAAAGGTTGTTTACCAGAGGTTTTTACAATGCAGAAGTGATATAAGGGTGGAGTATATGGAGAGTAAAAGAGAAGCAAAAAGAGTGGCAAGGAAGTGCAAAAGGAGAGAGCAAATGATAGAGTGGGTGAGGCACTGTCAACAAATTTTGCCGAGAGGGGAGAAGAGGAAGGGGTCATAGTAGGAAAGGATGGTGAGTGGTGGTTAGAGAGATTTTGTGTGGAAGGAGCTTGGGCATGCAGCAGGCACATATGAGCGTGTCAGAAAGGAGAGAATGGAGAAGAATGGTTTTTGGGACCTGATGAGCTGTTGGAGTGTGAGCAGGGTAATATTTTGTTAATGGATTCAGGGAAACTGGTTAGCCAGACTTAAGTCCTGGAGGTGGGAAGTACAATGCCTGCACTTTAACCCACTGACTGCTTCCGACGTATATATACATCTTACGCGCCACTGTTTCTGATGTATTTATACACACAAATTCTAGCAGCTTCAAATCAAGCAGGAAAGGCCTGGTAGGCCTACATGAGAGAGAATGGGTCTCAGTGGTGGGTGTGCACCCTGTGAAAAAAATCTGGGACTCAGCGGTGCATTGTGGGAATGACATCTTGGTAGTCCATTTTCACCATGCCTCGCAGTAAGAAGTACCTCACTCCTCGGCGGATTGGAGATCTTTTGTTAACAAGTGATAGCTCTAGCAGCGATGAAAGTGTCAGTGACAGTGAATTCCACGGTTTTCAAGTGAGTGTGACCGAAAAAAGTGCCCAGGATGACGTAATAGTGATGAAAACCCAGATGACCCACGACCTTCCACCTCAGGTGCTGGGCCGGCTTGTTCACGCTCACGTTCACCTGTACCAGGACGAAAGAGGAAACTATTTGGCCATGTACAAGACCCAGATGTTAACAGTGAATGTGATAGTGATAGTGATTTCAACATTATTGAAAGCAGTTCTAATTGTGACAGTGAGGGTGAATATTCCCCAGTGAAGCGGCAGTATGTACGACGTAGCATGCGGTCTGGTAGTACAGTGGACCCCCGCTTAACAATCACCTCCCAATGCGACCAATTATGTAAGTGTATTTATGTAAGTGCGTTTGTACGTGTATGTTTGGGGGTTTGAAATGGACTAATCTACTTCAAAATATTCCTTATGAGAACAAATTCGGTCAGTACTGGCACCTGAACATACTTCTGGAATGAAAAACTATCGTTAACCGGGGGTCCACTGTATTTCATATGCTGTTCCAAGGGGGAGGAGTAACTCTGGGAGCACATCCCGTGGCCCTACACCACGACCTGATAGTGAAGAGGACGATATTGTTATGATGGGTATGAATGATGTGAGTGAGGCAGCAGGCAGTGGTGGTGATAGTGATGGTGGCACGACCCATATGGCACCAGCAGCGGGCCACACTACTACTCACGCTGCTGACTCCACAACAACAACCACCAGCCTCACCCAACCCCACACTCCCACAGCCTACACAACCACAACCTGCACAACCACAACTGCACAACGACAACCACGTTACAATATCCAGAACCCACCAGCAGACCGCATCTGGGATTGGGAGGAAGGTGACGAGTTTGTTCCCAGTCCCCATGACGCTGGCACTCGCAGAGGTGAGGTGCAAGCCTTTGCTGCCAATGACATCATGGCATTTCAGTGGCATGACAAACGTGATGTCACATTGTTGACATCAGTTCACCAAACGAAATGGCACACACTGGCAGGCACAACAGAGAGACCAATGAACCCATTCTAAAGCCTGCAGCTGTCATGGACTACAATCTCAGTATGTGCTTAGTGGACAAAAGTGACATGCAGATTGGGTTTGCTGATTGTGTAAGCAAGAGTTATAAGTGGTATATAAAACTTTTTTTCCATTTTGTTGATATCTCCATGCTAAATGCTTATAACTTATACAAGTTGAGGACCAACAAAACACCAAAATATGGAGATTTTTGTTTGTCATTAATCAGACAAATAATCGCCAAGTACCAAGGAGCAACACCTGCAATAGACCAGTGCCCACGAAATTACCAACACACGCCATCTCGTTTGAGGCCTGGTGATCACTACCCGATACAACTGCCTCCTACTACTTCCAAGAAAAATGCTCAGAAGAGGTGTTATGTATGTACACATACCACAAAACGCCCACAAACACGCAGAGACACTCGTTTTATGTGTGAGGAGTGTCAAGTGCCACTCTGCATATACCCATGTTTCAAAGAGTTCCACAAACTGCAGCAGTTCTAGGAAAGTGTTCAGTGACTGTACATATGTATATATATTATGGAACAATAGTAATAAACATTGTTTTGTATTGTTTGTTTGTGTAAACAAAGTGTATACACAAACTAATAGTGATAAAGTTTGTTCAGTTATTGTGTTGTAAACAATGAGTGTATATTTGAACAATGCACATTACATTGGTCTCACAGGCCACATAAGTTACTTGGAAAAGAAAAATATTGGAAAATACAAGAAACTTTTGAATTAGAGTAAATAAAAGAATACCGGGCAGGCGGCAGTCGCCGCTGTTGCCGTACGCAGCTCACTTTCTGCCAACTTTGCGGTTCTATATCTCACTAAGTACTGATGGCAAAAATATTTTTTTAGGCTTAAAACACTCAGTAAAATAATCCTAACATTTTCACAAGAAAAAATAATTTTTTTTTCGAATATTTTGCGACATAAAATGACAGTTTCAGAAAGGGGCTTGCGACAGTCAAAGGGTTAAGGAGGGAAGTGGGATATTGGTTGTTTGGAGGGAAATCTAAACTGTCATATTTGGGCACTTCTGCAAAGGCAGTGATTATGTGTGAATGATGGTGAAAGTTTTTTTTTTTTTTTGGGTCACCCTGCCTCGGTGGGAGACAGCTGGCGTGTTAAAAAAAAAAAATACATTTATTACAAAATAAGTTTTCTTGCAGTTACCTGTTCATCTGTATCAGATTCCAAGTAACCACCAGCAGAAGTCAGTGCTTGAATAAAGGGATGATCATCACTTTCATTTAAACATTCACAACCAGCCTTATTAATCATTGGGATTAAATCAATCTGAAAGGCCAAAAAGTACAAATCAGAATATTAAGGGACACCACAAAGAACATCAGTAAAAGGATCACAAAAGTACTATTCTTCACCAAAATTCTAAGCCAGTTAATCTAAGAATTGAAATTCAAGTTAAAAATATGCTGACTGTCTGGTAATTTATTATTAAGGAGACTGTCTTTATAAGCATCAAAACAAACAGGTGTTTAAAATCTTAGCTTCACTTATATTGAATATACAACATGTAAAAAACTAGGCATGATTAAACAGTAAAAGTATGATCAAAGGAAGTAGCTCTGGTCTACTATCTCAAAATACCTCAATACAAATCTTTATATAAATTTTCTTTTAAAAGAAAGGTACAACCAATGAGCCCTCCTAACTCTACCTTATACATAACAGAATTATGAATACATACCAAAGTGTGTGTATTCTTGAATTACTTAAAATATCTAAAACTTCTTAACGCAGGGCATCCAGCATTTATTTTCTGGAAAAATATGTGATTTTTATAATTAGTATCATTTTATTCATCAAACATTGCTGTGCACAAAGAATATTCACAAAATGTGAACGATAACTTATGAAATTCATTCTTTTGTCTATTATCATGAAATTGGATTAAAAGCAAAAGTATGAAAAGCCTTCTCTCTGTTATAATTTAATTTGAAAATCTTTACAAGTTAAACATTATTTACTGTGCGATTTACATATACAAGAGAATTTTATAAGTTACTTATTTGTGTAACTGCAGTGAAGATATTTACACCTATGTGAGTGATAATTACATAATTAAGCCGAGTGAGAGTGTTCATACCTTTATATTCTCAGATTCTTTTCTTTAATACTATGTACTCATTGGGAATCAGGCTGTACAAGTTGTATGTCAGTTTCTTGTTGAAATGAGAAAGGGATATGAAAATTATATCCCATATACTGAAATTAAAATGTCAGAAGTATTGCCCTGATTAAATCTTTTTTCTTTATATATTAACCCACAACTACTTTCCAGAAAAATCAACTCTTAAGTTTCTTCACTTGTTGCTATAATTTTGCCTAAAAATTAAATAATGCAGTACAGCAATAGGGATGTTGTCTCCAAAAGCCTTATGTTCATGTCTATGCTTAAGCTTACTCAAGTTTCTCATAAAGTTACCCACTGATTTTGCTGAAAAATTTCTCGTTTACAGTGCTACTCCGTTAACTTAAAATATATTTTATTCCAGTCTGAGCGATAGTTCTAAAGATATTCTTATACTTCAAAATTATTTAAATTCGTAATTGCGTACATTTATGCATGAAATACACTTATACAGCCCAATCATAAATATTAATCATTACATTCATCTCAAATTTACATACCCACCTGGGTAAAGTATCTTACTCTCAACCTTTCTAAATGACCAAACCATTTCAACAACCTCTCTTCTGCTCCCTGTAATATACACCACCACACTATCTTCCTTCTTTGTTCCTTGTTCTTTGAATGACATTCACACCAAGCAATGATCTCAGACATGACATCACTGTCTACATCCTCAACTACAACATTCAAACACCATGCCTCACACCCAAATGTATGTGTTGGTACCACTATATACATGTACTTTATGAATTACCCGTTTTGCATCCATTGATAAATGCTTTCTACAGGTGATTCAGCTACCTGGGTTTCCCCTCATTTCTGTGATTTGACTTGACACTTATGGTCCTATATGCCAATACATCAACTACCAAATGCATAAATAGTCGCTTCCTCCACACTCCTCATAGTACGTCATTTCCTAGAGTTGCTCACCTTGATCTTTATGTTTGCTTTCAAATTACATTTACAAGCACTCCCAAACTTTAACCAGCCTTTGCAATGTCTCTTCAGAATCTCTCACAAACACTCTGTCATCAACAAGGAGCAAATATTGAAAATTAACACTACCATTCACTTCTTTCATGATTCCAATGATAACAGCCACAACTTCATACAACCCTATCTAATGCCCACTTATACAGTAAAATACTGTCCTCTCATACATACCCTAAGCCATGGATTCCTAATTTTTTTTAGGTCACATAACCCTTCCAAACAATTGAGCCCATGCACCTCCCACTCTTTTATCCCTCTACTTAATGTGTTTACAGTCGTACACATCATGGAACACATCCATTACCTGTATACTCTACTGAGTGTACTAATTTATTTATATTGAAAATTTCCTAAAAGATATATTAAACATGTTTGAAATCATATACAAAAAAATATAGTACAGGTACAACATTGATTTTCCAGACCTGGTTCTTGAGCTTTTCCGGATTACTGATTTTTCCATCTTTAAGAGAGTGCAGTATTCCATGGTCTTGGGGTTGGATAAGTAATGTACAGTTTGGTGGTCAATACACTACTGGAGGAAATTTCAAGTTCCTGCTCATAAATTTGTATGGTTCTGGACTATCAGTGCTGGAAAATCTATGTTGTACTTTTATGTGCATGTCCTCATTCCCATGGCAAAAATGGATTTCATAAGTTATCAGTGATTTGTTTTTCAGTTGAGCAATGTTTGATGAAAAAAATAACACCATAATCACACATTCCAGAAAATGCAGAATCCTCATAAAACTGCTTTAAAACAATGAAAGTTGATCCAGCATGGTCAGTTTCCTTGATTAAATTCTTCATAAATAAAACCAAATCAGTGTAAAGTACAGTAAATAAAACAAGAGTATGATTCTGTAAACTGTTATAAATGTGGCGATTTATTTCTGAATTTCATCTTTATGAATGCAGATTGACAAACACAATTATGTACTAGGGTGCATTGTTATTTATTATTGCAGGTAGTCAACTCCTTATTTGAGATGCACGGGACCAGGAGTATGCCAAATTCTGATTCATCAAAATCTGATAAAAACAGGACATACTAAATAATGCACAAAAAACAAGAAACAAAAGTTGATATGTAGTTATCCTGGTTTCTACCATTAAAAAAGTCTACAACTAGTTTGGCATGCTACCAAAATGAGAACTAGTTTTGGGGAATTCAAGTGTGGTAGGCAACTTCAACACCAGGAATGGGCATTTTGCCGAAGACTATATTGCGTTTGAGTGACTTGCTAGAATAGTGGTTGGAATAGCCACTTTATTTTGGTGGCAGAAACAAGGACAAAGTTACACTATGAAGATATTGGACTATATATAATTTTGAAAGAAATATACAGTATATAGTACATTTAAAAATCTATCGCTGAGACCGGAATCAAATTTTGCATTACAGGCTATTTTACAGCACATCAAGTATGAAAACTTTGCCAAAAATCAGTTGATAACTTACACTGGGTTATACAGTACACTCACTCACAATACATAGTATTTGCTGCTTGGTTTAGATCCTGCTTATACTAAACAGAATATCTAAACCATAAAACTTTACAGAATGACTATCTTGCATTCTTCAGAAATGCAACAACACCAACACCTTCCTCATTTGTCAAGGAATTTCCAAATTGCTAACTTTTTTATTAACTTGTTTTTTTTTTTTACTCTCCCCTTCCATTGTTTCTGTTAATTAACCAGAAAAAAAATCAAAGCAAGACTGATTACAATCAAGAAAATAGGTAAGGAACTAAATTTTCAGTAAATTATCTCAACATTTGTACACTTAGGATAGTTGAGAAAGCTATACAAGCTTGTATATCTACCACTAGTGACAGTCAACCTACGAATGTGAGGACAGCAAATCCTCAACATAACAGATTAACCCTTTCACTGTCAAGACCCCTGCTTGCAAACTTGCTTCTCAGTGTTAAAAAAAAAAAAAAAGTTATGAAATGATAAAGAATCTTTTCCTAATGGTAATGAAGCAAAAGTATGAAATATGATGGAAAACCTACAGAATTATGCTCTTGGAAAGCGATCTCGGCGATATTTACATATCAGTAATTTTGTCCACTTTGAGCCCTATTTTCAGTCAATTCCATTGTTCCAGTTGACCAAACTCATAGTTATTTTGCTAGAACTCCTTTTGTTCTACTGAGTACACAAGAAACTACCCATTTACCTATTTCAACTTCCCAATAAAGTGATTAGAAATTGGTAATTTGGCCAATTTCATACAAAATTTAAGGAAGGCCAATTTGAAAATAAGGTCCAGAATTAACACTGCAAACATTCCTAGGGCTAAAAAAACATTTTCTCTGTTCATTAGTCACATCTGCAAGCCCCTCTTATCTTACGGTTGCTTTCCATTTTGAATTTTTATTCAAACAAAAAGTAGATTTACTGTTATACAGACTGCTGCATTATTGTAAAAATGGTATAAATAACATCAGCACATCTGTGAAAGCATATTAGACTCACCAGTTGACGTGTATTGGACGCGTGACGTGATTTGTTTTCTCTGAACATCGGCAAAAATCAAACATATCCGCTATTTTGAGCTCATTTTCAAGATACATTTAATCTGTAAACCATTCAAAATCATCTCTATTTCTGTAATATATCTTTCGTTCTATCAAATAAAACCAAGAAAACAAGAATATAACAAAAAATACCATACGAAAATACACCGCAAAACCACTGTTTTCAACCAAAATCCCATTTTTTTTTTCTCATTATGCACTGTGTGCTGCAGAATCTTTTTTTTATACTGTGCACACTGACCACTCAGACCCATTCTCTCATATGTAGGTCTATCAGCTATCTCCCGCAAGATTGGAAGCTGCTAGAATTCTGTAGTATTACGGGACTGACACTGGCTTGCAAGCCATAATATTATGGGGCTGAGGGTGAAAGGGCTAATAGGGAAGATTGTCTGAGTGTCTGTTAAATCAGAATATTACAAACTAGCAAAAACTACTGTATACATAATACTCAACTTCATACATAATATAATTATGTACATTGCAATAAACATTAAAAATAAATGAGTTAAAAGTACAATTTACCCAGTGAATTTTGCCCATTATTTTAAGTTTTATGCCAAGGTTTACAGAATTTTGTATCAGAGCACAAGCAC